TAGATGTATACTTGTGCATCCTTTTTATGTGAGGTAATTTTCCCTAACTTCCTTGTGCTTCCCCCATCCTGTGTGTCCTTCTCCTCTCTTTCCATTCTTCTGTTAAGATCATCAAGACATAACAGAACTACTCCAGATCTTGTCTAATTGGACTCCCTCTATGACCCCTGATGATGAATGTTCAGAGGGGATGTGTCATCTGCCCACATTTGAATGTAAGCAGTTTATCTTTATTTTGTCCTTTATCCTTGTTCATTCATATTTACCTTTTTGTAAATATTTACCTTCACTCCTGTATTTGAACTTCAGAGTTTCTTTATAGCTCTGTTCTTTTTTTTCAGGAATGCTTGAAAGTCCTTAGTTTCATTAAGGGTGCATTTTTTCTTTCTTTCTTTCTTTCTTTCTTTCTTTCTTTTTTTTTTTTTTAGGCAATTGGGGTTAAGTGAGTTGCCCAGGGTCACACAGCTAGTTAGTGACAAGTGTTTGGTCTGAGGCCGGATTTGAACTCAGGTCCTCCCGACTTCAGGGCCGGTGCTCTATCCACTGCGCCACCTAGCTGCCCCAAGGGTACATTTTTCCCCCCTATAGCATTATACTCAGTTTTGCTGGGTAAGTTATTCTTGAATGTAAGCCTTTTTAGAATATGATGTTCCAAGTTCTCTGCTCCTTTATAGTGGTAACTACTAAATTGTGTGTGATCCTGACTATAGTTCCTTGGTACTTGAATTCTTTCTTTTCGGCTGTTTGTAGTATTTTTTTCTTTGGTCTGGAAGCTCTGGATTTTGGCTTCGATGTTCCTGGGAGTTTGTGTTTTGGGATTTATTTCGGGAGATAACCAGTAGGTTCTTTCTATTTATACTTTGCCTTCTGGTTCTAAGATATCTGGGTAGTTTTCTTTTAAGATTTCTTTAAATAGGATGTCTAAGTTCTTTTTTTGGTCATGGCTTTCAGAAAGTACAATGATTCTTAAATTTTTCTCCCTGATCTCTTTTCCAGGTCACTTGTTTGAGATAACATTTTCTGCTTTTTTTCGTTCAGCTTTTTGCCTTTTTTTAATATTTCTTGTTACTTCATGGAGTCACTAGTTTCTATTTTGTCCATTCTAATTTTCAGGGAGTTTGTTGTTTGGGCCAAACTGTTAATTCTCTCTCTCTCTCTCTCTCTTTTTTTTGGCTAGGCAGTGGGGTTAAGTGACTTGCCCAGGATCACACAGCTAGTAAGTGTCAAGTGTCTGAGGCCAGATTTGAAGTCAGGTCCTCCTGACTCCAAGGCTGGAGCTTATCCACTGTGCCACCTAGCTGCTGCCAAACTGTTCATTCTCTTTCCACTTCTTTCTTCCATAGCTCTCATTTCTTTCTCAAAGTTTTCCTCAAACATTATCATTTTATTTATAAAAAACATTAAAAAAATTTTTTTTAAACTCTTGCTTCATATCTTCTAAGAATTTTAGTTGAGTTTGTGCCCAATTGCTTGTAGATGTTTTGTGGTCATTCTTTTCTGTGTTTGTGTCTTGAGTGTCTCTGCCACTATAATAGCTTGTTATGGTGGGGTTCTTTTTTTGGTTGCCCATTCTTCCAACCTCCTTCCTGACTTTGGACTTAATGTTAGTGCTGGGCTCTGCCACATTTCTAGAGGGAAGGCCTGGGTTGGTTCTCTTGGTTGCTTTCTTGGGATATTGAATGCTGTGTTATTTTAGGATCTCAGAGACAGGCTGGGGATCTGGAAGCTTATGGTGTTGCCAAAGTGGTCTGATCCAGGGCAAAGTATGAGTGCTGCCCCCTGGTGTGAGCTCTGCAAGTTCCTATCTTACATTTGGGTCTGAGCGACAGTAGACTGTGCTGAGCTCAAACACCATCAGCTAGCAGAATGCTATCTGCTAGTTCAGTGACGGAACTGCAGGCTCCCCTTAGGTCTTAGATTCCTTCCCTGATTATTTCTCTGCAAGGTGTTAGGCTGGGCTGGAAGCTAATGAGTCACATCGCTGTTGCTTGCTTCTGAATTTGCTCCTCCATTGGTACATTACCTACAGCCTGAGACTTCTGGGACAGGGTAATTTGGGAGCAGGGCCACTTATCAGTCCACTCTGGATCTATGACTAGTTACTCTGTATTGGGCAACAAAGCTGCTGGTCAGTACCTTTCTCCATCATGGTGCTCCAGTAGGGGTCTGGAGATATCTTGCAATGGATTTGGGACTTCTTTATTGTCCCAGTTCACAGGATGTCCTTTGGCACTGCAGTGCTGCACCAGGCCCTGTCCCCAGTGTCCGAAAACCTCTGTCTCCCTATGCTGAACTGGTCTGGAAAAATGACTTATTATGACTTTTTTTTTTTGGATTTCCTGTTCAGGATTTTGTCTGGTGCATTTTCTAGATCTGTTTGGAGCAGTTTGGGGATGGGGCACAGCTCGCTGTACTGCTGTTTCCTGCTTCTCCATCTTGGCGTTTTTGATGTTTTATATTTAGTCTTTTGATTTTTTCTGATATTTTTAATAACTATTTCATGTAGTTATTAATTTCTCTTTGGTCTGTTCTAGCTTTCAGAGAATTCATTACTTGGGTTAGGTTTACTATTTTCTGTTCTCTTTTCTTTGCTATGGAGCTTTTATTTCATTTTTATCTCTTGCTTCATTTCCCGTAGATCCTCATGTAGATTGTGTGAAAATTTCACTTTTGCCTTTTTAGTTTCCTTGCAAGTTTTACAGTTACTCTTCTTTTGGGGATCTACAATAGATTTAGGTATCCAGTAATTTTTTATACTATTTTGGGCCTTCCTTGGTTTACTCAGGTCTACAGGTTATTTCTTGGTGTGGTTGGCTTAGTTCACCCTGCTTTCTGTGATGACCTCTGCCTCCTAGAGTTAGGCTTTGTAGATGTTTGAGGTTTCAGAGCCATGGATCTTTGGGTCCTCTGTGTTATTTCAGTATCTCAGAGCCCCTGAGTCTGGAGTGTCTTGCTGGTTCTCTGAGGTTTTCTCAGGGGAACCCTTTGCTTGTGATGCCTTTAGGACATAGAGCTTTGCAGGCTACACTTGTTTCTCGCACTTCTCTACCACAGCTTCTGGCTTTGTTGCCTACACTGGCTTTGCCGGTGGCTCCTTTTCCTATTTTCTAGGTTTCTGGGTGACTTTTCATTCAATTCTGGGGTGAAAGAAGTCACTGTAGATTCTTGATTTCTTGGTCATTATTCAGTCTAGTGTGAATTTCAGGTTTTTGCTGAAGTAATTATTCAGGAACTGGGTGATCAGCCATAGGGTCATGCAGCCATCTTGGTTGGAAGTTCCATCATTAAGGCTACTTACTGTGTTGTGAACTGATCTAACCATTCTGGAGAGCAATTTGAAACTATGCCCAAAGGGCTATAAAACTGTGCATACCCTTTGATCCAGCAATACCATTACTAGGTCTGTATCCCAAAGAGATCATAAAAAAGGGAAAAAGACCCATATGTACAAGATTATTTCTAGCAGCTCTTTTTGTGGTGGCAAAGTATTGGAAATTGAGGGGATGCCCATCAGTTGGGGAATGGCTGAACAAGTTGTGGTATATGAATGTGATGGAATACTATTGTTCTGTAAGAAGTGATGAGCAGTCAGATTTCAGAAAAACTTGGAAAGACTTACATAAATTGATGCTGAGTGAAATGAGCAGAACCAGGAGAATGTTGTACAGAGTAATAGTAACATTGTGTGGTGATCGACTATGATAGACTTAGCTCTTCTCAGCAGTACAGTGATCAAGACAACTCCAAAAGACTCACGATGAAAGATACTATCCACATCTAGAGAAGGAACTGTGGAGTCTGAATGAAGATTGAAGTGTACTATTTTCACTTTTTTTTTGTTTTTTCTTTATCGTGGTTTTTCCCTTTTGTTCTGATTCTTCTCTTACAACGTGACTAATGTGGAAATATGTTTAATATGATTGTATATGTATAACCTATATCAGATTGCTTCCCTTCTTGGGGAGGGGGGGGAAGAGAGGGAGGGAGAAAAAATTTGGAGCTCCAAATCTTATAAAAGTGAATGTTGAAAAGTATCTTTACATGTAATTGGAAAAAATAAAATACTGTTAAGTGGAAAAAACCACATAATAAATTTCCCAAGATACAAAAAAAACAAAAAAGACTACTTACTGTGCTTCTCTTATTCCCCACCCCCAGCCAATTCCTTGCTATGTCTCCACTCATCTTAGTTTGGGTACTTACTGTCTCACTTGGACTCTCACAATAACCAAATTGGTCTCTGCTATCATTCTCTCTCCAGTCTCTGCATACATAGCTACTAAAATCATCTACTTAAATTAAAGATCTGAATAAGGCACTCCCTTCTGGTAGTCAGATAGTAAAGTATTCTAAATGTCAAACTGAGGAATTTGTCTTTTATCCTAGAGGCACTATTACTTCTAGCCTTGATTAGATTTTGTGATAGTCAAAAGAAGCTGTATCTACTTTTGAGTCTGGCTAACATTTAAGTTAAAGTCTGACTCCAGTCTTTCTTTCTAGATTTATTTTCATACTTCCTTACATTTACTTTATGTTCCAGCCAGTTTGATAGACTTACTTACAAAGTCATTCCATGCCTGGAATGTACTCCCTGTTTACCTTAGCCTTATTGAGTCTCTACCAACCATCAAGTCTCAGCACGTGTTCCACATCTTATATATAGGTGCTCACAGTATTTTCTTCCTCTTCAAATTCTTGAATTTACTCATTTGTTGAAATGTTGAACCCTCAGGCCATAGTTGAAAGAAGCTCCTTGAGGACAGTAACTGATTTATTTGAAAAAAAAAAATTTGTCTTTTTGCCTGGAAATGTTAGAACCTAATAGTTGCTAATTAATGGTTGTTGAACTAAAGTGTCTCAACCAATCTGCTTATTGAGCATGGTATTAAAACTTAATAGTTAATAGGTTCTAAGTAAAATGAAGAAAGAGAACCTTTTACAGTCAGTTATTTAATTTGGATAATCTAGAAATGAGAATTAATTGATTGTTTCTGTTTTAGGCTCTACGCTACTTGGCAGAATGCCGGGCTAACAGAGAAAAGATGAAAGGTGAACTGGGCATGATGTTGAGCTTGCAAAATGTAATACAAAAGTAAGTAGACTGTGTTTTGTTTTGCTAAAAGTAGAGAAATAGATTGTCTGGCTAAACTTACATACAGTCCATGTAAAGTCTTGGTTGAATCCTTGAAGTTGAATATGTATGCAGGAAGTCCTCGTTTATGCTTAATTATTTGTAGAAGAGGTGTTATCATTTGAAATGATTTAAGTCAAGCCTAATTTTTAATTGACCCCAAAAAGTGAGATTCGCCTCCTGGCGAAGGGCCTGATAATCCAGCATTTTCATTTCTACTATAAATGAATTACAAAAACAAAAAACCCTACATTGTCTCTAAATTGATTGAAGTAAGCAGAATAGTAACCGATTTTATGTAAAATTGTATTTCATGTGATATAGTATAGTTTCTAGCAGTGACTTTCAACCCTTTTGAGTGTTAAGACCTTTTTAAAATATAAAAAACATTTCACAGATCCCTCTCATGGTAGTAGTTATACTATAGGTATCCACTGATTGAGAACACAAATGGTGACAAAAAGCTATTATGAATTCTGTAATCTTTTAAATTTGTATCTTATTCATCACAACATCTACATATATTTGAGAAATAGTGCATATATGAGAGATATTATTTAGTCTAAAAGGACTGCTTACTGTACTGAATTATCTTGCACATTTTGTTGGAGCTGAAAGAAACACAGTGTTTGGTGTATATATGGTGGTTTCCCAGACTCCATGAACCCACAAGATAGGAACCACTAGTCTACAATTTAAAGTTTCTGTGTTATTTACTGATTTACTTCATTGCTTACTACAGTGAACCAGAAGGTGATGGAGCAGTCTCATCACGAATTTATGGGTTTCAGAAGGACTTCTTTGGGGAGATTGTTAGGCATCTATTTTTGAGGAGGTTATAGAGGAGATTTAGTGCCATTTGATTGTTTTTTGAGAATGATTTTGTTCTTGAGCTGCTCATGGCCACCCGGTCTTCAGTGCAGCCTGGGATCTGGGGCCAGGCTGAGCTGAGGAAGACCTTGCCTGAAAGCAATCTCTGACCTGAGTGAACTTTTCCATTCCCTGATAAGTGGGAACAGTGAGGAAGGGGAATAACCTATGTGTGCCTGTCCAGGTCACTAGAGGATTTTTACCATCCTTAATGAAAAGACCAAAGCCTAGTAAAAATTTGACTTGTAAAACCTAGGAAGGAATCAGTGACAGTTAAGATTTTGGTTGTGGACTTCACCTTGGAGGAATAGGGTCACCCCCATTCTTTTAAAAAATGTCCTACCAATTAGAGCAAGGGGAAGACTTTAGTTGCCAGAGGGTATTGTCCCAGAAATATTTGTGCAGACACCTCTCTAGTTCAGCTCTTTTTTTCCTTTCACTGTCAAATCTCAGCTCCAGCTTCTGGAGTCTCCCTGGGCTACTCTCTTCTACCTGCTCTAAGGCAGTGCCACCTAAGAGCTTCCAGAGGCCCTCTTAGAAGCCACAACACCTCCAAGGCCCTTCTTATGCTGTTGTTTTCTATTTTCTGACTGAGTTCCTAGATTCCCTGGGCTCTTCTTCTTCCTTCTCCTGTGAGGTGGGCCTCCCAGGTTCTAAGAGGACATTACACCACCACCTGTCATGAGATCAGGCCTTCAGGGAAAGACCTTGAATTATCTGATCATCTGTCTCTCATTTCTTAATAGAGAATAACTTTATATGGTAACTGATAGAATATAGATGACTGACTAGGAGTTGTTACCCAAGATAGTAAGAATACAATAGAAAAACATCTACTTGCAAACCTTGTTGAAAATTTATTTCGCTAGGCCCAGATGAGCTACATCCTTGGATCCTGAATGAACTGGCAGATGTGATTACTGAGCCACTGTCAGTGATATTTGAAAGATCATGGAAACAAGAGAGGTACCTCAAGATTAGAGAAGAATAAATGTCCTAATTTTAAAAAAAGAGAAGAGGACAAAATCTGCAAACTCTAGGCCATATAGTTTGACTTTGATTCCTATTAAAATTCTAGAACAGATCATTGAAAAGATTGCTGAACATGTAGAACATCTAGAAAAGGAAGCAGTGATTACAAAGTACCAGACTTCATGAAGAAGGGTCATGGCAAGCTCATCTCATTTCCCATTTTAACAGGACCACTAAACTAGAAGATGAGAGGAATGCTGGGGATTGTTTACCTAGATTTTAGCAAAGCTTTGATAAAGTTTCTTATACTACTCCTGGTGAGAACATGGAAATACTTGGATTGGATGAGAATACAATCAGATGGATTCAGAAATGGTTGATTGGCCAGATTCAAAGTAGTTGTTAATGTTTCAATTTCACCATGGCAGGAGGTCTCCAGTGGAGTACCCCAAGAATCTGTTGCTTGGCCCTGTGTCAATCACCATTTTTATCAGTGGCTTGGATAAAGGAACAAATAGCATGTTTGTAAAATTTGCAAGATGTATCAGAGCTGGGAAGATAACTAAGACAGTGGATGACAGAATCGGTATCCAAAACAGATTTGGACAGGCTTGAGCATTGGGACAAATCTAAGATGATGAAATTCTTTAGGATGAATATGCAAAGCCTTTCACTTGGGTGCAAAAATAATTACCTTCACTAGCATAAGATGAGGGAAGCATGGTTAGATGTGAATTTAGAAAAAGAATCTGAAAAAAGATAGTGGACCTCAGAGTTAGCAGTTGTGAGGTGAATTTTAGTGTGTGTAAAGTGCATTTTTTGTTATTCTTTCTTAGAGTTTTCTTCTCAGGATCCATAGCTATAACAATCTCTACCTTCTAGTAGAAACAGTTTCTACCACACTTGTGCAGTAGATACAGGGATGAAATAATGTAAAATTGTGAGACTATGCTGGCAATGTGCCTTCTTTGTTGTTTCCCTATAAAGCAAATGGGTGTTGGTCAGTGACTGGGGACCCCCATGGGGTGAATGTGCAGGCTGAATGCTGTGTGTGCCTTGATTGGCCACCAGCAAGGTTTGGGAGGGGGAATCTGTGTCTTTGCTTCAACTGGCCCCCATTGAGGCTTGAGGGGATTTAGGGGAGAGCACAAGTTGTGCTGATCTTGATTGATCCCATTGAGATGAGGGGTAGTTGCCCCCACTTCACACCGGCCCCTGCAAGAAGGGTTGTTAGGGAATGCTATAGGAATTAGAGCTCCCCTTATCAGCAAACTCCCTTTGAGAAGACTAGACTAGAATAAAGTAAGCTTATTTAACCGCTTATTCCATTCCTGTCTTCACATCTGACTAGATCAAAAGTGAACCTGCTAGCGAGGGAGGTGCTGGAAGCCCTCCTTTGTCTCTTTCCTAAGAAATGGTGTAGTCAGTGTGTTTACTTGTCCAATCGCTGATTTGATCTTGGGCTGCATTTAGAGGGGATAGCTTACAAGAATATGGAGTTGAGGGTTTCACCCTACTCTGACTGTACTCTTATTCAGTTCTGGGTGCCACAGTTTAAGAAATACATTGATAAGCTGGAGAGTGTTCAGAGGACAGCAACCAGCATGGTGAAAGGTAGGGACTCCCTGTCATAAGAGGATAGTTTGAAGGAACTGGTAATGTTTAGCCTGGAGAGGAGAGGACTTGTTAAGACAGGCCAGATGTCTTACAGATGTCTTATTTGAAAGACTGTCATGGATAGGAAGATTAGGCTTGCTTTGTTGGGGGGCTTAGCCAGGAGCAATGGGTAGAAATTGCAAAGAGGTAGATTTAGGCTTTACTTCAGGAAAAACTCCCTAACAAAGGAGCTGTCCAAATGTGCCCTCCTTGGGGGGTCTTTAAGCAGGGGCTTAATGGTCATGTGTTGACTAGCTTATCTTGGGGATTTCTCCTGTGCATGAGTTGGGACTAGGCGGCTGCTGAGGCTTCTTCCTTCTCTTAGATTCCATGATTCTGAAGCTCTTTCAGATTTTTCAAAGCGCTGTGTACATGTTAGCTCTTTGGTCCTCCAAACCATCTGCATGGCCCCTTGTTATCTCCAAAATTAAATGTAAAGTCCTTCATTTGGCATTTAAAGTTCTTAGCAACCTCCCCCTGTCTCGGTGCTTTTGGAGTGGCTGCCCTCCCTGTGCCTGGAATGCTCGGCCTCCCTTCTACTTCTTTGGCCCCTTCTGGACGCATCTCAGATGCCTTCCTTTGCAAGAGGCCTTTTGTGGGGCTCCCAGCTGCCAGAGCCCTCCCTTGTAAAGTTACCTTCCATCTGAGTTGTTTCTTGTGTGTGTGTGGTTGTTTTTACTCATGTCTGACTCCTGAGGTTTTCTTGGCAGAGATACTGGACTGGTTTGCCATTTCCTTCTCCAGCTCATTTTACAGGGGAAGAACTAAGGCTCAAAGGGTTAAGTGACTTGCCCAGGATCACACAGCTAGTAGGTGTTTGAGGCCAAATTTGAACTCAGGAAGAGGAATCTTCCTGACTCCAGGCCTGTGCTCTATCCATTGTACCACCTAGTATGTACCTACTTACTTACCTGTCTCCTCTGTTAGAATGTCAATCTCTTGGAAGACATGATTCTTTTTGATTTTCTTTGTATTCTTGGAACTTAACATAGTGCCTTGTACGTGGTAAGCAGTTCATAAATGGTTGTTGATTAATTTTTCAATTAATTTTTCAACTAATCCAGGAATGTCTGTTTTCCATTTTTAAACATCTTCATGTAAAATTGTTATGTATGGAGCATTTTATTTAAGAAGCAGGTATTGGCATACTTGAGCTGCTATCTTATTTTCAATGGTGGCTTTACCTTTCACCCTAGTATTATGAAGTCATATTTCCCTTTCAAATGCATGAACTAAACCTTATTTGTTATGTTTTTAGTATCTTCTGATCCTTCACTATTGTGGCTTCACTGTGTCAAAAAGTTTTCAGAATGACAGGTTTATAGACCTAGAGCTGGAGAGGAGACTTGGAAGTCATTAAGTAGAACCCACTCATTTTATTTTATTTTAGTTTTAATTATTAATTTGTTTTTAGTTTTCAGCATTCACTTCCATAAGCTTTTGAGTTTTAAATTTTCTCCCCC